TTTCAGTGCCTTGTTTAGATATACAAATTAGTTGTGTTTTAATTAGGCCTTGGAGCCATGCCACCCAGCTCAAAAGTCCTTGCATTTTTTTTTCAGTTCAGGAATTATTATTATTTATTCAGCGTACGATGAGAACACGACAGAAGAAAAGTAAATATAAATACTCAGTCTACATAATTATAAGTAAAACTTTTACTGGAGGGGGGGGTCTCATAACTGGATCCAGCAATCACTTCTGGTGTTGCTTCGTGCAGATCTTCTAAGGAGTCTGAGAAAGCAATCGTGGGGAATCTTGCACAATACGTTTAATTGTTTCCATATCAGCACCACAATCACAACAAGGGGGATCTTTCCATCCCCACTGATATAGGGCAGAGGCACTTCTTTCAGTATTATACAGTACCTAACTCCGCTCAGTTTTGTCCAGACAGGGTGTGGCAGATTAAAACCAGATGGTTTGGTAGAGGGATCACCTTAATGGTCAAGTCACAAGAAGATACCTTGGACTATTCCCCTCTGCAGAAGTTCTCAGGGTTAAGCTAGGTAGATATAAAGTGAATAGTTATTTTCCAAGCTGGCCTACAGCCTATTTTGACTTCAGGAACATTACACGTTTCCTAATTTCCTGAATTTTGTATCTGCCAATTGTATTTCATGCGCTGAGCGATGAAGCAGTAATACTTCAATTTCTCATTGGCTCACGAAGACCTTCTCTGAATTGTGCAAACAATTATCCCTGCACGCCTGCGATATGAAATCAAACTCACATATTTAGGTAACAATATTTCTCTCAAAAAGGTGCAAAAAAAATCGTTCTTGATGTATTTGGAAAGGTGTAATTTGTCCCATCAAAAAACACTCAGCTACCTCAGATAGCATAGTGAAAGCAATCAACAGACTCTGTGAAAGAATGGACAGGGTAAAAGCAGCATTAGATAAGGAAGAAGTAAAAGTGATAAGCAGAATCTGGGAAGGAATTCTGAATAAAAACAATGTTAGATAAGGAAGAAGTGAAAGTGATAGACTCCGGGAAGGAATTGACCAAATAAAAGCATTCAGTATTCTATCATTTTGTCCGCAGTTTTCAAGTTTACAGTACCTCTCAGCTGGAGAAAATGCTGTTAAATCTCAAATGAATATTGGATTATCCCTTGATTGTAATTATTTGGTTTCTTTCACAGTTTGGCTCTGGTGTTACCATCCTACAGCTTTTACTATATTAAAGCCAAGATTAATGAAACCTTAACTCAGGCAAAATGTAAGTAACTGCGAACTTTCCCCCTGTTGAATGTCATGTGTCTGAGTAATGAAACACTTAAAAGGACTTTCAGACATTGTGACTGTTACGGCCCATGTGAGAGTGATTCTGCTTTTTCTTTTAACACAACATTTTGAAAGCTTGTGAAACTCACTAATGTTCTCATGATGTACCCCCAGCTCTACAGCAATGATTCCAAGTCCTTGTGTAAATGTGCAAGACACAAAAAAAAGTATTCTACCCAAGTAGAATCTGTTCTGTTGCTGTACTAGCTTTAGTAAATCTTGATCGTGTCCCGTCTCTCGGCTTATGTACCCACAGAATCATTGCTTTGCATATCCTCTGTTGTCTTTTGCAGAGTTTGATAGTAGCTCACCGTTGAGTTATGAAGTCTAGCTTTGTATGGTGCCCCTAATATCTGAAGCCTGTGAAATACTCACTTCATGTTAGCTGGCTATGGAGATTCTCAGTCCAAATACCTAAACCAGTGATGGCAAACCTTTTAGAGACCAAGTGCCCAAACTGCAACCCAAAACCCACTTATGTATCGCCGGGTGCCGGGTGGGTGTGGCCACTCGGCGGGCGCAGCTACAGTGAGATTGGCAGACTGGGTGGGCATGGCCACTGGATGGGTGTGGCTGCAGTAGTCATGGCAGATTGGGTGGGCACGGCTGGAATGGGCGTGGCCACCTCGATGTTGCTTATGGGGAGGGACACCTGTGGGAGCCGGGCAGGGTTGGTGGAGATCCAGGGGGTCTCTGGCGGGTGGGATGGTGGGCTCCCCAATGGCAGCTCCAGGCTGGCTGGCCTTAGGCCAGTGATGGCGAACTTTTAGAGACCACGTGTGCTGGGGTGATGGCGCGTGCCCACAGAGAGGGCTCCACGTGCCGCCTCTGGCATGCATGTCATAGGTACGCCACCACTGACCTAAACAATCATCTCACTTTATGGAAGGCTTTCTATCCTTTTAACTAAAAGACCTTATTTCGCTGACAGGCAAGATAAATATAATATAGAAAGAATTCTTTCTTTTGGCACTCAGCTCTCGAAGCAGATTTTAGCTTAGAAAAGAAGCACTGCCTGGATTGTGCAGCAAAGGAGAGCAGATGTCTGTGAAAATCTGGAATATACAATATGCCCAGCATCCTAGCTTAGCAAGCAAATGTTAGTTACTCTACTTCAGAGGCCGTCTTCAAACCTGGCCCAGGTTTAATCCTTTTCCCAGCTTTTATTTAACTCTCCTGAGTCTCTTTTGACATTTGCGTCGTTCATTGTCAACACTGGGTTGGAAATCTGTCAGTCGCTGCCTAATTTCTATTATCTGTCTTTTTTTTACATGACCGAGAACTAATTAATTGATCACATTAAAGGTGATTCCCATAGAGTATAAAATGGCGAAGCAGATCTACAGAGATCTGTACGCTTAAAGCACTGAGCTGGGTTTTAATTAATTTAATTAATTGAGTAATTAATACTTATTTTCGTTGTGAGTTACACAATGACAATAAAGATATTCTATTCTAATTGTTGGAAACTACCAGTTTGGAAATTTTAATTTCTTTGCTCACAGTGACTTACTGCTTTGAGGTTTTTCGGCAGTAGAATTTGGAACATCTGGAAACTTTGCTATCGTCCAGTCCAGGGGTAGGCAACCTTGGCTCTTTTATGACTCGTGGACTTCAACTCCCAGAATTCCTGAGCCAGCCATGCTGAAGGGAAAGGGAGAGG